GAAAGATCTATTATTTATTTTAATAATGAAGCATAAATTTGATGAACCAAATTTCATTATGGAATTGTTAAGGTTAATCAATCTGGTCAAAATCATAATATATTACGAATTTAAGAGCGTAGGTACCTACATTATGTCAACAAACAAAACAATAACAAGCGCGGCCGGCTGTGGCCGAGCCGGCCGAGTCTATGCGGTACATTTGTTATTACTACATTACATAAATATTAATAATAAATTAATATGTGAATCAGTACAACCCGAAGTCTAAGTTGATATTTTTAAGAATTATCAAACAATAAACAAGAAAATCAAATAAAAGATCCATTATAGTACATATTTACATTACCTACCTTTTACTTGGGTCAATTCTCGTAACTCGAGTACACCTCTGCCTATGGTCATTACCTGAATCTAGTCCGATAAAGGACATTGCGAAATCTTACTGTTTTTACTTTCAACAAACACATAAAATTACCTATTATTCACACACACTTCACAATCGAATAATATAGGTACTTGTACTAGAAACTGAGAAACAAATACACTATTTGAAAAACCTACACATATATTTAACTACTACTACACATTTATGCAACTTTATGTTTAAAACTAATTCCTAATAATTTAAACGAAAACATAAACAAAGCGATCGCACATCACATGAAAACAATATGGCCGAAAACATTGGAAATGAATTGAAGTCATTACCAATAGTCAATTGAGTGTTTATTATAAAAAAAATGTAGCTTAAAAATTAAGGTAACGCAGCGTTTAATTTCAAAAAAACAAACGTTAATTTAGTAAGTCAAATGAAATTGCATCATCGTCTTAAACCAATATTTCATACTAAAAAACATTCATTCATATAATTTGAAACGTTGTTAATGGCGCCATCTTGACGTATCAATAACTTCCTTTTAACTTTTATAATAATAAAGTCAACTCCTCGTTTAAAATTTCTATAAACCGACAACGCGTAAAAATGTTAAACTTTAATTAAAACACTTGAAAAATATTTGTTAAATACGCATTTATAAAAATACATTCGCATTATATCGAACGAGTTCAGAAGTTTCAACAAAAAATTCAATAGATGGCGCTGGTGTACTCCATTCATCAGTACTTTACGATATACATACAAATTTTATCAATTTAAATCCTTTTATGATTTAATTGTTTTTAAAAATACAATAACTTGTTGTTGTTTTATTGTATTTAGAATTCTTAATAAAATACGATCGTTTTCCAAGTGATGAACGAACGGTCCTCTAATTTTTTAGTTGCAAACATTTTGTCAATCAACAGGAATCGCGTAATATAATTATGAATGGTTATTCTGTACCGTGACTATGGTCGTGAACTTCACGCATGCGCGGTGCATACTTTTGGTACATTTCTTTTGTGACGTCACTACTGCCAACCAAGATTTAAGGAATAGTGGCGCATGCGTGGTGCGTGCGGGGCGCATTCATTACTTTACAAAGGCGCGTATTTATGTTAGCCGTTTTTTTACAAACTTTTATTATATTATTGAATTTTAATAAACGCGTTTGTACATTATATGTATGTTATATATTCACGATATTTATAGGTAGGCATTGCCTTTTCGCCTATATGGACTGCACGCCACTGCCATCAGGGGATCCGTCAGCTTGTTTACTTCAAAATAAAATGTGTTGACAAAACTCACCCAATAGTAAGATGAGATATAACTTCATCGCTGGGTCCAGAGTCAAGAACCAAGGCGTCAGCTCCAACAACTTTGTGTGAGATGACTCCAGTCACCGGATTCTCCAGGACTATCTCGGGCACTGGAAAACAAATAGGTGGACATAAACGTCTAAAATAAACATAACATAACATCACGCCTTTTTACCCCTGAAGGGGCAGGCAGAGGTGCACATTACGGCACTTAATGCCACTGTACAATGTAACACCCACTTTTCACTATTTATGTTATGAGTCCCACGTAATAGGGGGTGAGCCTATTGTCATATACCGGGCACATTTTCAGACTCCGTGCTACTACAGAGATTTTTAAAAAACCCCGTAATACTTTGCCCTATTCGGGAATCGAACCCGAGACCTCTTGTCCGGCAGTCGCACTTGCGACCACACGGCAAATGAGGCAGTCTAAAATAAACATATCTTTAATTTTAATGTCCCCAATCCCGAAATATCAAACAATCCTCAGATACCCAACCCCTAAAAGGCTGGCAACGTACTTGTAACGGCTCTAGCGTTACGGGTATCCATGGGTTTGTGAGAGCCAAGCTTCAGCACAAATGGGCCGGCTCGACCGGAGTGATACCACGGCCGAGTAGAAAACCATAGTGAAACAACCACAACATTATCTTTCGTCGTGTGAGTGATGTTACCGAAGGCCCAATCACCCTCCTCCCCTCACCCCGTCCCCAATCCCTGAATACCCAACAATCCTAATTCCTAATCCCCAAAACGCCGGTAACGCACTTGTAACGCCTCTGGTGTTTCAGGTGTACATGGGCGACGCCGATTGCTTACCATCAGGTGATCCGTATGCTCGTTTACCGTCTTATGTCATTAAAAAAACATGTAAAACCTTTGTTGGGTATTTAAAACTATACTGGGAGCGATGAAACGGAGCCACTTAACA